AAAGGGGCAAAGAAATAAAAAAATAGTTTGAAAGCAAAATCTTTCTCTTCTTTTTGTTCTCCAAATATAATCTATCTGGGTATTCCATTTATACCCCCTCTTATGGTCTGGGCCTAAGAGTTAGTGACCATCTCCCCCTAGTAGACTGGAGCATATCGTCTATAAGATGCTATAGCAGGTTTTCTAAGCTTGCTGTTCATTTGGAAAAGAACCGGAAGGAAGTCCTGAGGCGCAACTGATTTCAAGGAGACATAACTTCCTCATTTAACATCTACTTGCAATGTTTTTTTCTTTTGAATCTGTTTGTGTGTTAGGGATTACTCTCAAGTCAGTTAGTCGATGCAATCAACTGGTTTTCCTTAGATAGAAAACTTTGAACCAATCGGACTGCATGACCTGGTTGTATTGTGCCTGTAAAGCACCTTGAAATGACATGTGTTGTGAATTTATGCTATATAAATACACCAAATTGAATTAAAGTTATATTTTGTGCTTGCTAGTCTCCTTTTTGTCTTTATAGTAGGGGAGAGTGGGAACAGTTGCAAAATGGGAGATTGCAACTTGTCTGCTTCCGTAAACCAGAAACTTTGCCATATTGATGATATAGATACACCACATGCTCAGGCATTTTTTCATGTGGTGTATTTTTGTCATACTGTCCCGCCCATTTGAATGAATTAATTGCAACTAAGTTAGATTTATTAAATGTTTAGTTTACATGGTTAGCAATATCTTTGTGTCGAGTCGAGCTAGCATATGGTGCACTTTAATAGGTAACAGTTTGGGAACGGTTGCAGCACTTGGGGGAGGCAGGGAGTTGTTAGATTACTATTATTTGATTTTCAAAAAATTATATACCGGTATATGTATATTTATTGGAATATCATAAGTTGTGTTTTCTCATGTTAATATTTGGATGATATAAGTACTATTTGAAAGTTAAAAAAAATCATTGCTTCACTTTCGGATATTGTGTCCAAAGTTGCAATGTAGTTTTTAATTAAGTTCTATCAGCATCACGAATATGCATAATAATAAGATAATTGATAACAAAAAAAAAAGTTTAATCTGTGATATTGAAAGGATTTATGATACATTTCTACCATCCCAGGAATGGGGACAGTTGAAAAAGGCTGACTTTTTAAAAATGAATATTGTGAAAAATCTGTTGCATACGTTTATATGCAAATGGTATTGGTAACAAGCAGACAGATGTAAGTTTGAAATGTAAGTTAATGGTTGGTGTAGGCCACCAGGAGTAATTGAGAGAAACAAGAAGTAATTGAACAATCCACGCCAGGCTCACCTGCTTTTTGCATTTGGTGATCATTTATGTATTTGCAGCACTCTTGCACTCCTCAGCCACAGTTTTCACAACCAGGAGCAACAAAAAAACTTTTTAAAATGAGGCTCTGGATGAGATATTATTAGTGGGATTGTAGTAAGAGCATATTTGGCCCACAGTGGAAGATATTTACCTCTGATTTTTAATAGAGCTGCATTTTTTAATATTATAATACCAATATTCTATAAAGAGATATTTACAGCAGGCCACTGCTCCCCAATGTACGGAAGAGGATTAGGGCCACTGGAAAAAAAAAAAAGTTAACTGATTTTTTTAATTTTATTTCAGTATAGTATGGGAAAAAAGTCAAAATTCAAAAATCAGTTAACTTTTTTTTTTTTTTTTTTCAGTGGCCCTAATCCTCTTCCGTACCAATGGGATGGATTAAATGCAGAGGTAAATTTTTCCAATGTGAGATCAATACAGTTTAATTAATACGTCTGCATACAAAGACTTACCATATAAGATAGATTTAGTTAATATGGATCATTGTCTAAAGTAAAAAAAAAATTGTTCAATTACAGCAAATATGTGCTTAAGGCTTTAAAGTGTCCTTTACTAGTTAGATTTCACATGACAGAGCAACACTTGCACTTCTTCCTCTTCTTTGCCTCATTTCCAACACTGCTTTCTCCCTGGGCTTCAGGTTGTGCCTCATCATCATCATCCAGTGGAACATCTTGAAGGGTTTTGTCTTGAGGCTTTTCCTCCGTCTGTTCTTCTCTTTCCTTTGTTGAGGCCGACTGAATTGGAGCAGAATTCCCTGGCTCTACTACATATTCCTCTCCATCCTCAGTAATAATCACATGCTCTGCGGTGAGCATGCCTTCGTAGTCCTCTTGGTTTTGGACATCCTCAGGTGTTCCGTCAGTGTAACCCATGAACACCAGTGTGACTGGACCTTCCTCCAAGCTTTTACCTTCCAAGTTTTCCAGAATTTCTTCAGTGTCTTTAGTTTGATGATCCGTATTTCTAACAGTAAAACTCTGCGTCATCCTCTCTGCTTCCATTTTGTTTTCAGAGTTATCTAACTGTGGAACGTTTTCTTTTGATGTACCATTAGGAGTGATAAAACTCAGGCTGTTATCGTCTAGTTTGTTTCTGCTTTCTATATTCCCAGCGGTCACCTCTGGCTTGTTCGGTGTTACCGTTACTTCATCAAGCAGCACCGTCATCCCGACATCATTGATGACGCTCAGTATCTCACCAAGCTCTTTGGTGGAAGGTTCACCTTCCAATCTGCCAACCGTGTGGATGCTTTTCCTTCCATCATCAAAGATGGTCGTGGATGTTGGAGCAGCAGGAGCTGAGGAGATTGGGGCTACCGATTTAACAATGGTGGCGCCCGTCTTGGGGTCTCGCTCCACCTGGATGGCTAACATCCCAAGGACTGCAAAGACAGAAAAAAAACTATATTCACAGAATCTTAGGACATAGAGAGAAACTCAGAACACATGCAGATATATAATTGGCAGGTAGGCCAGCATTAAGCTGATTAGAGTCATTAGAGACAAGTTTTTCTCCTTTTTCAAACCTTTTTCTGATCTTTTATATATATTTGTACCCTGTTTTATATATTTACACACTTAAACCAAATAAAAATAATAACTGAACTTAATTATTATTGTTTATAAAACAAGATATCTAAATAATCTGCAAAGAGACCATCCCTCCTGATGGGCATCTCTTCACATTGCAATAGGGATTTTTTTTTCTTTCCAGGTTTTATAAAATATATCGGCACATGAAACACGCTTATGTTGCATTTTCTTTGAGTTAGGCTACAAGGTGCACATTGAATATTATTTTTATGTGATCATTATTTAGTGTTTTTCAATAATTCTCATCATTACTATCTCCATCTCCATGGATTTGAACCTTATCTTTTACTTACAGTGACTCTTAAACGGAATAAAATCTGCTCATAATGGGCAGAAACAAATAAGTTTGCACATTATAACATTTCCACAGGAATCTTTGTTTTTGATCACCTGCAAAATGTCCCATTACTTTACCTACTTGAAAAAAAACATTACACGTTTGAAATTTTGAATCTTTAAAAATCAGGCCCTACGTTCATTAAAATCCAACTTTAAATCCCATTTGTTAAGAGTTGCTTTGACTGTTCTATTTACATTAGTTTACGTTTGTAATCCACCTTTTATGTATCTGCCTTTATTATTCCATTATAATGTCATTTTCCCATGGACTTTTTTAATAGTTAGCACTTTGCATTGTTTATGTTCACTAAAATGTTCTACACAAATAAAATTGCCTTGCTTTGCTTATGCTGTTACATGGATGTCAGCTTCATTGAAAGGTGATCAAGGCAAAGGTTAATTTGATGTGGGGGCTTTGTGCAGCTGCTGTGTTGCAGCACAATGGTAAAAACAGCCCAATGTGGTAAATCCAGCTTTTTTTTTTTTTTTCTTAAACACAGGCCTCCAGCAGCCATAAAAGATATGAACATAGACAAACAACAAACGGCTTAAAACAACATTGTTCTCAGACTGCTTACTGCAGCCTCATCCTTAAGTTGTTCCCCTGGGGCTTAATTTTGTTACAAAAACATTAAACAAACACATCTTTTGTTGCAGAAAAGGAGGCAAAGAAAACTAAACAACACATATATCTTTATTTCTTTTTATTTAAATCTTTTATTTTTTTTTTAAAAATATATATTTTTTCTTACCGGATCGTCCATCTTGTCCACTGTCTTCATGAGACATCCTCTGTGCCATTTGATTGGATAAGAGATTTACGGCTGTCAGTGAAAAAGAAAGCATGTCAGCAGGAATAATTCCCTTGAAAACCTTCCTTGGATAATCAATATACTGTCTTTGCAATGACTCAAAAA